CTACACGTAGTGATTATGTTTGTACATTCTACACAAAATGGCTCTATTTTATTTTAAAGCAATCACAATGACAGCTACATATTCTAGTTTTCCAGTTATGGTACTAATGACAGACTGGACAAGCTACTTCACAGGCCAGAATCCCAGAGGTCCCTACTGAGTTTTTAAGCTTTAAAACAATGATGCCCTTCTTAAAGGTTCAACTGGGAGGTTTTGACTGACCGTTCATTTGCTAACAACCAGTCTGAAAATGAAGCAGTGTTACCTCACCATTCTTAAGGTCTTCTTAAACAGCCAAACAGATTCTTTTACTTTTCAAAATATAAGTAGTAACTATAAATGATACAGATACTTGAGAGCGCACAACAGCCTACGGTTTCATTCTATAACCAACTAACAGAAGTTAATTAGCAGTAAATAAGCCCCTGACAGGCGTAACTTCACCAGCAACTCTTGCCTTTTAAAGCTTTTTAAGACAACAACTTTTTTGGCTAATAAAAATTTAATTTAATTTGAAAATTGCATCCTAATCTTAAAAAAATAGGATAACAACTATTTGTTGTAACCCACTGCGCTATATAGTACTCTGAGCATAGTACAATTGAAATTTTGCTCACTTATCATTATCATTTTGTGCCATCACAGGCAGGGTCACGTAAATGAATGGTCAACTGTAATTTTCAAATCCCATATCACCTGGAGCAAAGGCAAAGATTGCATTGTTGCACTGCACTTTTTCTGTTGTGGGAATTCTTAGGGCACTACATAATGGATATTTTTACACTTAAAATTTGGGCACAATTTTGGAAAGTAAATTCTGCAGGAGCCCAGGGTCCAAAATTAGCACCAGCCAAATGCTGGTAAAATATGCAAATGATTTACTAGAGATCTAGATTTAGATTTACTTCACTCAGCAGTGTAAAAAAACATGGTAATCTATTGAGTGACTGGTACAAAAAATTTATTTTGCACCCTGATGTCATTCCCATTGCCACTCAGCTGCTGTTGTTAAAGCATCCTGGCAGCAGTTCTGTGATTTTATATTTGTTTAAAAATTTTATTAATGTAGAGATGTTTTTTCATGTTGACATAATTAAAGCCACTACAATTCAATGTAATAAGTCCATGGGGTGGGTTATACTTTATATTTTTGTTTCTTAAATATGTTTTTTAATGCTTATAGAACTTGCTGTGCTGAGCTCTGTTCCGTGGCTTTGAACCAGGGTCGGGCAATATGACGGCGTAAGGGTGCAACGGTAGAAATGTGTCCACCAGTAGAGATTTGGCAATGCAGTTTCCACCACGCAGCTATACATGGATTTATTATTACAACCGGATACCTGACCCTATTCAGTCCAGTGAGAAGGGCTGTGTCCGAAATCACCCACTACTCACTGTATAGTGGACTATATAGTGAGCTCGCCAATTTTTAGGGCTGTCCGAATGTATAGTGAGAATTATTATACCCTATATATAGTCCACTCAGACTATCCCAGAATGCATTTTGAAAAGTAGTGTACAACTGATGGTCACCAACAAAGCCTTATATACCATCATGCATTGCGCTCCACCAACAGTCCACCAACCGATTGTCCGACAGCAATGACATAATTAATGCACGGAAATAATGATTGGAGTACTGTCAGAAAGGGTTGTTTTCATTTTGCAGGTGAGCTCACTATATAGTCCTCGACACACAACTCACTAGGTAGGGAGTAGTTAATGGGGGGTGATTTTGGACACAGCTAATGATTTACTTCCAGGGTGTGCAGCAGTAGTGTTTCTCCCGCTGTCCCCGTCTGCGAGTTCCTGCTCAGCCCATAGACTTTTCATTGTGCTGACATCACAGTGCTTTAAGTTGCTTTTCTCAACTTGAGTAAAGTTCTACTGATGTAAAATATTATCCTTGTTTGTAGTTCGAGGTGTCCGGTCAACAGATTTACAGACCCTTTTTATAATGTGGCTTACAGGGGAAATTCTTTTTGTATTGCAGGGGAATTATTTTCTGCAATACTGCGAGTGGCCACTGGGCAAAATTGGAAGCAAGGTTGATCGGCGGCGCCCTGTCCAGGTCTTATTATACATCCATGGAGCTATCCCTTAGTGTCTCTACTATATATTAGGGGAGGACTATGTAGCAAATCAGGGCTAGATTGTTGCCTGACACTGCAATTCTCGTTTGATGTTTCAAGTTCTCACAAATCGAGCTGCCTTGCTTCCTCCGAAGGTTGCCTGATTTTGGCAGCAGGAGTGCTTAACAAGTTCCCAGACAGTTGGTCGCGGTAATGCACCTCTAAGCTGGTTTGCCAACCACCACAGAAGAAGAGAGTGACAAGAAAACATGGAGGAGGAGAGTGAAATCTTAAATACAGAGCAGGAGGTATTTTTTTGTTTGTATGAAAGTTCCAAATAAAGGAAGGAGATAACTGAACCAAAATTGCAGTATCATGATGTATACTGTTGCGTGATATAAAATTACTAATACTCATATCGCCCACCCGTACTTTAACCTGCTGAGCGTATGCTCTCACGGTTGGATTTGTTTGTCCCTTTCTATACGATATATACTTGCTGTAATATCCCAGAGACACATTTATTAAAGGATGATATAGCTTATTTTAGGACAGAACACTGCACTTCCGCTAGTGCTTAACAATGTTGCAATGTTGGAACTGGAAGAGGGGGGAGAGAGTTATGTGATAGATAAGAGGGGGTGGGGGTCTCCTTTGCTGTTCATTTTGTGTGCATGGCCCTCCCCCTTGGACTTGTCTCCAAAATGGCCTCTGTTCTAGTGGAATTGAAAAGACTTTGTTGAGCCTACTGGTAATTTGAGCCTGGGATTCATGGCCAGAAAAACGAACAAGGAAGGGAGGGAGGCGGGGGGAGAAGGGGGAGGGAGCGAGGTAAAGAAAGGCTTTCCTTATTCGTATGGAATTTACCTCCTAGTTCACCGTCTGGTTCTTTTGGAAGAGGCCCAAATAGTGACTCCCTTTGTGAGTTAAGTAGGAGCTAGGTGGCTATTTTTGTGGGCCAGCGATCATCCACAGGGATAATAAGCTGGGATCCTCTCAATGCCGTCATATCTAAGAATGTTACAAACTCCTTGTAACCCTACACACAACCCCTTTCATGCTGTTCTTGTCTCTGAGTATTTAATGAGTCATTCTTGGAGAGGAAGTGTTCTTGAATAACCAAAATCTGAATTCTTTCCGGTAATCAAAAATGAGCCATCCCATCTGTCTCTCTATAGCCTCACCTGTATGTCTCTGTTCTTCCTGATGCAATTTGAGTTGTAGCAGAATATTCAGCTTTTGTAACCAAAAGCTAGCTGACATTTCTTGCCGCTACCTACCAGTGTGTGTGTATCCAGCTGGACGGGGCTGACATTCTCCGTTTGACAGTGAGCACGGTTGAACTGACCTTGACATTAGTGGAAGTCCCCAGCCTTGCTGTGGTTGCCTTGGTGCTGGAGAGTGAGGGCAGCAGTCGCTGTAGCCAGGGGACCACTAAAGAAATGTCATGCATCCTGTTGCTGTGGCTCTCGACTTGTAACCAGCCCATGTTTGAATGATACGGTTATTTTCTGTTATCGAAGACAGGCTTTGCGTTTTTTTTTTGGACCTGTGTTCTAGTGAATCTGAACAGTCTGTTGTTTGTGAGGTTACAAATTTGCATGTATTTGCCCAGGGGATGACCTTGTTATAAGCCAAATCCTCTCCTCAGCGTGTGAACGGAGCACCGGAGGGCCTGTTCCTCTATCTGCAGCGGTGGCTGCTGTCTCTGGCTCTGTGTCTGACTGGGTGGCTGAGCAGAGCTACCTAAGAGGGGAGGAAGAGCAAGGCACAGCAGAGGAGTGTGGGTCAGTGTTTCAGCAGAGTGTGGTCACATGACATGAGGGCCAGGCCTCATGTTGGATGACTCACCCCTCCAGCCGCCTGGGAGGAAGGCGCCTCCTGCTGGTTCCCTTTATTAGTGCATCCTATGGGAGGCTCAGAGTAAGCGGTGCTGTGAAGCCCCTGGTTGTTTTTCTGCGCTTTGAATAGCCGCCCCTCCATGCTGGAAGCCTCTGTATGGATGAGAGACAGGCCTGTCACATCATGTCCATATCAAGTTATCGTTTAGGATGCATGCAGATGAAAGCTCTCTGCTGCTTCTCTCACACAAGTCTTTATTGTCAACATGAGTCAGCAAATTTGGTTCCTCATTAGGTGTGTAATGGATGGTTTCCCTGTGTAGTGTTGGTCATGTAGACTGGACAACCCTCTGTCAATGTTCAACTGAGAACTCTTTGAGGCTCTCTGTTTATGTGACAGAGGTGCTTTCATTTTTGAACAGGCCTTCATTTTCTTTTGATAGTCATTTAATAAGTAACTGTACTATGTCTGACTAGTGACTATCTAATGGCAATTTTTGATTTAAAATGCACTATGTGGAATTAATTAAATAATTGGCAATGAATTGGGCCACATCTCAAGCTTTCAGAATGCTGTTATTCACTTTGCACTTGTACCTGTCCCCAAGGTGACCTACCAGAGTTGATTTGGCTTGTTGAAGACGCTGCACATTTGCACCACAGTTTTTATGGTAACAGCTGTGATGTGTTTCAATAACCAGCCAAGCAAAGAAAGCAGGAATAGACTGGGTTGCCGGTGTATCAGGCAAATACTCAGGTTTTTACAAAACGTAAGGGCACAGCTTTTTTCAAGGTAGACCTTTTGACGCCTAATGGTACAAAAAGCACTTAATTAATAACATTACAATAAACTACATTCCATGTTGTTTCAGTTCCAGGTCCCTGGTATTGTTCAGGCTGGCTCATTTGAATGGTTTACCAGTACACTCTTAATTACAGCTGTGCTCTCTATTTCTTCACATGTTAATTCATATTTATAATTAAGAATTTTTACATTGAAAGGCACCATGACATGCTGAGTCACGTAGCAGGCTGTTGTTCAGTATCCAGGATGTATGTGCATTTAACTGTTGCCCTCTCTCCTTAGGTCCCCCATGACCGTGAGCCGTGGGCTACGGCTCAGCGGCGCCCCACCTCTGGAGTGGTCTGTTGCTGTAGTTGGGACCCTGTGATTCCTCTACTCATCTCTCCTCCTCCCCCCCCCATCCCATCCTGTCCCTCCCCTCCCCCTCCCCTTCCTCCCCCTCTTCCCCCCCTCCCACGCGTCGCTGTGCCGGACGTCATGAGCATAGTAATCGCACTGGGAGTCACCACACCTGAAACGTCTTACTCAGATATGGCTGCTGGATCAGAGTAAGTACTCACTACTAGCTGGTGGGACTCAAACAGTGTTTATTTACAACCTGGGTCTTACTTTTGTTGTTTTGGCCATCAGTTATACCTTTTACAACGTATTACTCTCAAGCTTACTTGCTGATATCTGTGGATGCGGTAACATTGCTCAAATAGAACAAGTGTCATAGGCTGTAAACAAAGTTACTGTTTAACTTGATCACTCTGAGAAGCTCTTGTAATGCAGTTGCTAATGGGGATCCAAATAAAAAAAATCTGACTGGAAACAATAAGAAAGGTGAATGTTAAAAACAGAAATGTCCCATGGTGCTGAACAGCGCCTGACCTGACCTACTGTGGGTACATAGTTGTGCATGCTCACTGTATTTAAAAGCAATGGAGCTTTGTACTGGACATTTCAGGTGTGTTGACTCTGGTTTTCATGTCTGAATTTACATTCGATTAAATGCGTTTGTTAACAGCCCATGTCATTGTCTGACCACCTATGTTGTCTGTAGTGGTGATGTTGCCACATCCCTCAGTCATAGCAATGAGGTTGGTTCTTTTATCATAATCAATACTCAAAACTAATCAATGGTAAAAGCTATGGAAATGAGTGGTCTGTGAAGATTTTCAGTCATCCAGGTCATAGTTATCCAAGCAAGGTGCAAATGAAGGGCAACTGGACTTGGTGGACATTGGTCAGTTCTGAAGAAGTCCCTTGGGTGAGGTGGCGAAACGTTTTCAAGTATCTTTAACCAAGTCCAGGTGCCCTTGATTTTAACCTTCCTTTGGTAAGTGGTAGAAGTGTTCCTTTCCTGTTTCATTATAGGTTTGGTGTCAGTAACCTCCAGTGTTTTTGTTTGTTTGTTTGTTTGTTTTTGAAGAGATCCCAGGGATTCCCAGCTAATGAAAATAGCTTAAATTATTCACTTTAGAATATGTATTATAAATATTGTTGTGATAATAGGTTTAAACCCATCAGCATTACATTATTAATAGGGGAGTACAACTCTTTTGCCCAAAGCAACAGTGTTATGTCCCTGCAACGGTGCTGAGCTCTCCCCTTTTTTCACATTTCTCTACAACTGTAGCACCTTGGGTTGTAAATAAATATGCTTCCTTCCAATATCCTGTCAGCAGTTTTCTGTCTTCTCCACAAAGTCTGCTGGAGAGACCCGAAGAGATGGGAAGTGCAGTCCACCAAAGACTAAACTTTACCAGACAGAAATAAAGGAAATACAGTATGTGATGCTTCAGTCAGGCTGGTTGCACATGAACTCAAAACCGTCTAAAGATGAAGCAATGTAACACTGACTTCGGTACAGGGCTGGACGATAAACAAAAATGCCACTGCTGGCATTTTGTCTTCCCCTTCAAAGCCACTTCAAATTCAGAAGGTTTAGTGATTGCAGTTAATTCACTGTGTCACAATGTTCCACCCTCTCATGGAGATCAGAACATCCTCACTTTTATTTAATTTGCAATGCTGTTGTCTAATCTTAATTTGAAGCTATCACTACCTAGTCGCACTGGGTGCAGTGTGTAACTGGCCTGTGTAATTATGTTTTATGCCAAATTGAATGAAACAGCACATTTTTGTTTAACATGCTAAAAAAGGTTTCAGCTGTTGTAATTTGTACATTTCTGTCCGTACAGACAACCCACCCTCAGGAGCCTAATTAGCATCTCTGTAATTGTTTTTTCTTTGTAGTATTGTTATGACTGATTGTTGATTCTGTATCGTCCAGCCCTCCCTCTGTTAATGGAGGTAGACTTGTATCATATCACCACATCAGGCTCTGTAGCTGTATAGATTGGTGTCTGAGGAAATGTCCACAGACAGTCTAACTAAGAACAGTTGCCAGTTCTCTGTAGGTAAGCCTGCTTTCGTGACTGAGGTTTTGTGGAATGCAGTTGGTCTCTCTCCCATCCATCCCTGTTCACGGCCCCCTTTAGTTTCCTCCAAACCTCCGTGAGGAGGATTGATTCTAACACTCGAAATAAATGCACCGTGTCTGCTTACATACAGAATTCAGGGATTTAAATCTAACATTTTGTCATTTTCATTCTTTTGACATTTAAGTTTGCTCCAGAATTGGAGAACCGGGGGGGGAGGAAAGGCAAGGTTATTCACTGTCTGGCCAGACAGACTTCAGTTAAAGGGCAAAAGGAGTTGCATAACATAATGGCGGCCCACATTCCGTTTCCTAAATTGCTGTTCTACCAGGCTGGAGAGCAACTTTGGGGTCTTGGTGCCATCTAGTGATTGATTGATGTCTTTTATTTAAACAGTTGTTTACATAACGGCATATGACATAAAATAACTGTAATAATTCCTGTTTTATTTTTATTCCTTAAAATAATTAAATTACATAATAATAATTTTTGTTATTTTCCAGCCCTGAGTCAGTTGAAGCAAGCCCTGCCGTGAATGAGAAAAACTACAACAACCACAGCTGTGGGAGCGCACAGAGTCATGGGTATCGGGGACTACCATATGCTGTGAGTTCATACAGCTCTCTTCTAATCATCAATTCTAATCATAGCATCTCGTTTTATATGAAGTTAGTATTACTCTCTATTAATCAAAGATACGTTAGCTGCATTTACAAACATTTTAAAGGCTAAAATAACTATCCAATCTTTTCATGATATCGAGTAAAACTAAGGATCGGTGTTACATGAATGTCTCTCCTGCTATTAGTCTTCTGTAACCACAACCTACTTCTGTTATTAACAGCTGTACTGTTTCACATACCTGTTTTTTTGCCCTCATTTTCATTCGTCTCCATTTTCCGTTTCCCTTTTTGCCTGAACACCCGTTGTTTGAAGATGCAACAGTCTTCCGTTGTGTGTTGTCAGGATCACAACTATGGCGCGCCCCCTCCCCCAACCCCACCCGCCTCCCCGCTCTCCCAAACCATCATTCCCCGCATGGATCTCAACGGCGTGGTACGCGGCTCCCACTATCACGAAACTACCGAGGACAACTCCGCTGACAGCGACAGCTCCTCGGAGGAAGACGGGGCCGTGGCCAGCTGGTGTCACTGCAGCCTGACACCGGATGGCCTGCTCATCAAATGTGACAACTGCAGGTGAGAGATGGGAAACCTGCCCAGTCTGGATCCTGGAGCATATGATTCCATACTGTTTTGGAAATGTACTAGAAAGCACTGCGAAGTGCAACAAAACAAAGTTCTGCTATTGAGAAGAGCAGTATAGTTTCCTAGATATCATATATTTTTAAGTTAAAGTTTCCTGCATTGTGTTTTATATGTCCTGGTGTTTAACAGTGCAAACAATACTTGGGTAAAGAAATCAGGGCTCTGTTCAGTCAAGATGAATTTCAAATGATATGGTCTTACTGTTCTGTTCTGTTCTGGTCTTACTCAAACACAAAGTCTTCTCAAAAATGTAACTGCCATTATCAAAAAAGACTGTTCAGCAATTTTTTTGCCACGATTTTTTGATTCAACATTGTTATGTGCTTTGTAACGATAATTCGACTCGATGCTTTGCATTTAAATGATGGCCTATTTTACATCATGTACTGATGTGTTTCATTGTGTTTTTTTGTTCCAGTGGACTCGACAGGAGGAAAGGAGCAGAAGGCCAACACAGAAAAACAGAAAATGTCTCAGGTATGTTGTCTGTCTGGTAAATTAATTTCACTGTAGTAGCTTCTAAAGTACAATATAAATGAGGAGGGTTCCCCCCCATGAAATTTGATCAGTTTTTTTGTTTGTTCTGGGGGGTTTTTTTGTAGCTGGAGAGAGCAGTGCCACTGAGAGTGGTGACGAAGAGGTGTCGCCCTCTACTATTTCCTACACCGCCACTCAGCATACACCTACCAGCATCAAACTTACTGTCAACCGGGTCAAAAGGAGTAAATCCAAAAAGAGGAAGAAGAGCACGGAGAAGGCCCGTGGAACGCCGAAGAGCAAGAAAGTCAAAGTATGCAAACTGTTAGAAGCAGAGGATGAGTCTAGCAAGAATCAATTGACAGATTAAGTCCAATATAGAGCTATTATTTTTTTGTTACAAGCTTGCTGCATTGAGAATACCTCATTTTGTTTTGTTTTGTTGCTTGCTTAACATGTCTGTGTTTATTTACCTTCTTTTAGGCTTTCAGAGAGGGTTCTAGGAAGTCCATGAGGATGAAGGTAAGATTGGCGTTTACCTGACATTTATAAAAAAAATTATGCTTCACTCAGTGCTATCAACCCCGTGCTTCTCTTTTTCTGTAAAGAAAACCCTTTTTAAACTTTTCTTCTTTCTAGAACTCAACAACAGAGGCCAGCGTGTTGGATGAGAACACGACAGAGGGATGGGAGAGCAGGATCCGCCAGTGGACGGACCAGTATGAGGAAGCTCTGGCCAACCAGTACAGCGCTGATGTCCAAACACTTCTCCAGCTTCACCGCGCTGCCAACGCCACTGTCTCAAAGGCTGAGAGTGGTACCACAATGCCTCCTTCCACCACACAGATCCACGCCTCAGTCGACTCCATGGATACCATCAACCGCACCAAGCTGGCCTGTAACAACACAGTGCTTGGCTCACAGATGCAGGTCAGCCCAAGTATTATTACAAATTAACAACTTTGGGACCACAATATATTGATTCATCTTACATGTCACAATCCATGCATGTGCAATGTGCAGTAACATTGAAATAGATGCAATTCAATTAGCGCGTAATAATCAAGCCCATAGTAACACATTATATAAACCCTTTTACTGAGTGATAGGAAAAAATCAAAGACTGGAAGTTAGCTTTCTGTTGAATAATGTTGTAATCATGCCTTAATATGTCTTTAATATTTATCTGCATTTGCAAATAAATTATTTGTGATTTGCTGGTTTGTAGCTCCAGTTGGGGCGAGTAACACGGGTGCAGAAACATAGGAAGATCCTCCGAGCTGCCAAGAACTTGGAACCAGACACACTCATCATTGAATATCGGGGAAAGGTCATGCTTAAACAACAGTTTGAAGTCAACGGGCACTTCTTCAAAAAGTAAGAGATCATGGTATATGTGTATGTTCAGTATTTGGGTCTAAAGAGAGCTAGTTACATTCAGAAAGATTCCAATGTTTTGTCACCTGTTGTTTTGCTGCTTTTTAAATTATGTCATATTTTTTCCAGACCCTACCCGTTTGTGCTGTTCTACTCAAAGTTTAATGACATAGAGATGTGTGTAGATGCAAGGACCTTTGGAAATGACGCCCGCTTCATCAGGAGGTCCTGTACACCCAATGCTGAGGTCAGCCAAAAAGCTTTTTCACAATCTCAATGCTTGCCACATGTGTTTCTTTTCTGTGTAGCTTTGAGTTTTGTCAGCTATCTTTGTTAGAATCAGTTTTATTTTAAACAAGTCTTTATCTGTTCCCGTCCCCAGGTCCGGCATATGATTGCTGACGGCATGATCCACCTGTGCATCTACGCCGTCAGTCAAATCACAAAGGACGCTGAGGTCACCATTGGATTTGACTATGATTTCAGTAGCTGGTAAATACTGCTCCTCAGCTTATTTCTCTCTTCCAACATCCATCCATAGAAAGCAACACAGGTCCACGCAACATATACATGTGACAACCAAACAACATTAATATCAAATATAAGTGGTGTCTAGAAACATACAGTAGATATGAATGCAACACATGTTGGTATCAGGTGTAAAGCGGTTATTTGTTTTCCTTCGGTTTACCTGCAAACTCTTTTTAACTTGTTGCTGCTACACAGTGTCTTTTGTTCCGTAGTCTGGCACTTTCTCCAGTGTAATCTTCACCTCTCTTTTAACAAACCACCAGCAATTACAAAGTGGACTGTGCCTGCCATAAGGGCAACCAGAACTGCCCGGTGCAGAAGCACAACCTCAGCCCCAGGGAGAGCTTGCTGAACCCCCCGTCCCTGCCGCCTCCCACTCCTCTGGTTGGTGCCGAGACCCGACGCAGAAAAGCCTGGAGGAGAGAGCTGGAGGGCAGCATTGCTGGTGACGGCAACCAGATCCTGGACCAGCACCAGGAGGGCAAAGAACTGCAGGGGGCCAGTGATGCAGAGGTGTGTCTTTCTGTCCGTCTCTCTGTCTGTCTGTCTTTCTGTGTCTTTCTGTCCAGCTAAGATGAAGGGATCTTCTAAATCAATCTGGTTAACAAAGATATCAGTCCTTGGATTTAACTACATCAAGTATTAATCTGACCACATATGGGAAATAAAAGTATTCTAGACACTGGGCCTGCAGTTTTTAAAAATACCTGTATGAGCCAGACATTGCTTGTACTTCCTGCTGGGTGAGATGTTTTCCTCATGTTCTGCCCGTCTGTGCAATTAGGAGAGACTGCTGGATGAGGTGAAGGTTGAAGAGGGAGAGGAAGGAGAGGTGGATGAAAATGGGGTCGCCATCTCCACTAAAAGAGTATGACAATTAACTATTTTCCTTTTCAGCTAGATATTTTTGTTCTGTGTGATGATGGATTCCAACTCCAGCAAAACATCAGTAATTCAAAAGACACATTTTTTCAGGCATTTCTCTTGACATTGCCCCTGTGTTGTATTTCTGACGATTCGTGTAGACATGTAACAGTCTGGAAAGGAGGCGAAAGAGAGTGGGGGGAACAGAGGTAAAGGAGGAGGGTGTGGAAACTGAGGACGGGGCAGGAAACCTCGCAGAGAACACCCCCATACCCCATAACACTGGAGTGGGGGTCAGCACACGACGCACCACCTATGTCATGGTCAGTGAACAGTGAGGGAAATCAAGTTGTTTCATCTTTTTCCTTTTTTGTTTTGTGTCTTTTAATTTATTCTGGTCACATATTTTCAAACAGGAAGTGCCATCTATTGAAGAGAAGACCTCATTACCCAACCTGCCTGCCCCAGTTGCTCCCCCTAAACCTGCACGACCTACCAAACCTCGGCCCAAAAGTCGGATTTCTCGCTACCGGTCAAGTTCTTCCCAGCGTGCCCGGCGGCAGCGCCAGGCCCTCGCCCAGCAGGCAGCAGCGGCTGCTGCGGCTGCAGCAATGGCAGCGGCGCCATCATCGGCTGATCAGGGTGCTGCACTGGACGAGGAGGGATCTCAGGGCCCGTATGGTGCTGAACATGGCAGTGGAGAGAGCAGTCTGGGGGGTCATCTCCTAGATGGAGATGGCCAGGGTCTAAACTGCATAAATCGAGGCAACCTTCGCTATCCCAAGACCAAGAAGGTTAGAGGATATTAGACTTCATAGATATCATTTGTAGGATTTTGGCTATCCGATGGTAGAGTTAATCATGTTTATTATTTTGTATATTCAAATGAAGAGTAAACATTAATCTTTGTCTTTCTTCACAGTACCTGGTGACAGAGTGGTTGAATGACAAGGTCCCTGGAGGGGAGAAGGTCCACCAAGAGGTGCCTGTTGAGCGCCTGCTGCGGATAACCACTGACCCCACGGTGCTGGCCACCACCCTCAACATGCTGCCAGGCCTCTCCCACTCATCACTCATATGCACCACACCCAGACACTACGTTCGATTCGGCTCCCCATTCAACCCTGAGAGACGGCGGCCCCGCCCACTCCAAATGGACGGCACTTACGGCTGCTACAAGAAGGTGAGAGATGCTGCAACGTATTATAGAAAGATGGAGTATATGAATATGAAAATGTATACAAATGTGGTCATCCTCGGCAAATTCACATTGAGTGCTGTTGAATCACTTTCCAAGTATGCTGTTCTTTTTGGTGAAAGAGTTGTTGTTAAAGTCATTGTACCTTTAAATGAGTCATAAAATTAATGTGTATACCATTTTTTTTAATGTGAGGTCTAAATAAGCTAGTCTTGATCTCTAAACAAATGTATTTGTTTTTTAACCCAACATTACCGTTGTCTTGATGCAGAGATGGATAAAGCAGCTGGAGGATGAGAGCTGTTCGGCCAGTGTGGAGGATGGCACAGAGTCCACCTCCTCCCAGCAAAGTACTAGTAGCAGATCCACCCCCAACCCCCTGTCCAGCGGTACGTAAAATCCCCACCTCCGTCTGGATGACTCATTTAGTGCTGTGTTTTCTAAAATCGCCAAAGAAGAATCAATAGAACTCAGCAACTGGATGGTATTGTTACTGAAAGTACAACTAAATGTAGAGTGTGTTTCTCATTTGTCCAGATAAAAGTATTTTATATTGTACTGTTATGTCCCCCCACAGAAGTCATTGCACCTTTTAAGAAACGCCGCTCCAAGTATATGGCAGAGACAACCCCACCACCTTTGGACCACCTGCTTCGCCCACTGTCGCCCATCACACCGCCACTCCCAGAGGACTCCCTCCACCCGTTGCTCCACACCACCTGTGGCTCCCTGCTGCATAACGGCCTGATCTACTCACCCATGACCTCACTGCCCACCAGCCGCTGCAATACACCTCTGCAATTTGAAGTAAGGTCACAACCACATAAACACCTAGATTCACAAATACTGTTTCAGATCGTTGTCTATCAGAGCTCACATAGTACATGGGTAATGTGTAATTGATATTTTTTTTTTTCAAGCTGATAGATGGTGGGCGAGATCATAGTCAAATTATTTCAAATCCTTGTGTACTCGTGTGAACGTTTAGCATTCATAAACCTATGGACGCTGGATTTTCATTTCCCTGAGGAAATTCAGGGGAATCCAATTGCACGTTTAGTGACTGGCTTTTTTAAGCAAGCCAGAGTCTCTTTTGAATGCACTTCAGAACTCTTCAAAGTAAAAGCTCTCAAACTCCACATAAAGCATTGCTGTAAAAAAAGTTCTCGCTCTTTTATTTTGGAGGCACAGTTACTTAAGAGGAAGTGATTGTGTGAGTAACTGTAGCTGTCATGACTGAGATCTATTTCAGCACCAGCCGCTGTCATTTTATCATTTATTTATTTTTCTGCTATCAAAACAATCGGCTATTATTGCTGGCGGGCCGCCTATTGCCGACCACTGCCCTAGAGTATAGTTAGTGTTTGTAATTATTGAAATGAACATTGCAAATGAACCTTTTTGGTGTTTGACCTAATTAAATCTTTGTTTTGGTTTAAACACATTAGAAGAACTGCTAGACACAATTTACATGGGCAGATTCCAAGATTTCGAAATATAATTTATATTTGGGATACACCATGTGTGTTTGACACTATGAATCCTCTTATAACTGACAATTATTTCTCTCTAGAACATATCATCCCCTGAGGCTTCTCCCGTTCACCGGCCAGAGTCCATCTCTCCTGAGGTACACTCCTTTCGCTCTACCTCTAACACTTAAATGCCGCCAACTGCTAACTTGTTACACAAATTTGTCTAATTAATTTCTAATTAATTAATTTTCATTTCTCTCTATTTTCATCCTCTTTCAGCCATGTCTTCAGACAGACTTTGACGTTCCTCGGCCTCAGTTCCCAGACCTGTCACTCCCCTCCAGCTTGGAGAGCCCTGTGGCTGTGACCTCAGACGATTTTTCCCTTCCTGGAGGCCCTTCAGGCCCCGACTCCCAGGGTCCATCATCTGTAGGGAACAGTTCCCTAAACCCAGTGTCCTGTCCCTCATCAGACCTAACCCCCCAAAACAGGGAGCAGGCCTTCAGGACAGAGTTTAACCTCATATACACCTGCTCGCCCCTCAACGCAAACCTGGGAAACCCTGTGGCCACCGACCTCCGCCTCTCCCAGTCAGAAGGTGGTTTCTCCCCAGCAGAGTCCTTCCACAGTTCCATTAGCGGCCAGGGGCTTCTGGGAGATGTGGGCCCCGGCCCCATGTCACCCTATGGCGAACCTCATTATGGGGGAGGCTACCCGGATAGTGGAACACCTCCTCACACCAGCAACCCACCACAAAAGAAGAAGGCAAGTTCTCCACATCTTAATGATATGAATGTGACAAATCTGAGTTTTTCAGGTAAATCTTAAGGAGTTTCCTCTGTTCTTTTCAAGCACGAATGACTTTGAGTGTGAAATGTGCAAACTGAAAAGCCAAACCTCATGATGTGCTTTTCCCCTTGCTCTGTGTTGTCTTAAATATGTATATCAATTAGTCCCTTGTGTCAGGTGGTCAAATCCAAAAGCAAAAGGCATTTAAAAAAACAAAAACATATTTAACCGTTTTATGTGTATATCTGAAATGATTTCGACTAGCTTTGACCCTACCCTCCCCCTCCTCTCCCTCAGTCCCCTTCCTCCCCCTCGCTGCTCCTTGAAACTTTTTGCCAAGTCTCTCTTCCACTTTTCTTCCAAGGCAGAGGGCCAACCAGCATACCATTAGTCTGCTGACAGGAAAGCCAGATTACCAGGCTATAGCTGTAAGAAGTGAATACAAGCCAGTACAAAATATGGTGAATATTCTCCCTACAACTACATCTTTAGAAGTGTGCATGTAAATATTGTTTCTTTGCATCTGCATACAACACCCACCCCATGCTCCGACAGCCCTGTCCCCTCCCCTCCTCCAAACCTACATTAAATTACGACTCTAATGTTTTGAGCAGGAGTTTTAAGTTATTATGCCATTTCAGTCAAATTCATTGAAGTGTGTGAAGGTTCATCCATTGCCTTCAACGCAAGAGGCCGATGGTTCATGAATTTTCATGATTGTGTCAAGATAAAGCCCATGTGTCTTTGCTCCATGTCATCCATGGCTCTTTCCAAACTGTGATCAATGATCCATCCACCGCTAGCAAGGCTAAATTTGCCAGTCTGGTTTAAAGCAATATCACAAGGCACCGTGGGAAGTTCTGGGGTTCAGGGTAAATTTAAGGACGTGACAAATAGATGCCTCTTAGAAGCAGCAAATGCAATGTTAAACTTAGCTAACATGTTTATACAGCTGGTCACATCACATACTCCTGTAAATATAAGGGTAAATGTAATGGATTGCACTTGAAAAATCAGTGGCCACTAGCAGCGTTGGCCCAGAACCTGGAGGACAAGCCAGGCTAGACGTTCACTGAGAAGATATCTAAAACATGAACCTATGGAAATATGTGAACATAAAATACCTCACATTCTGCTCTTCTATAGATGGCCACTATATATTTCTAAAGTACCAAGATCAGTCCTTGTTACAAAGAGTCAAGTATTAAGATCAACTTGCCAAGTAGGTGTAAATGAATTGGTTATCCATATTCATGTTCACCAGCCAAAACAAAACAGATATACATTTTTTCAAGAAATATCACCTGTCCTGTTACTTTGTGTAAAGAATCCCAGGCTGTGAAATTCAGATTTTAGTCATATGAGGTATTATTGAGAATTTGCTCACTCACGACTGGAGTTCGGTCAGAAATGGGTCAGTTGACCCATCTAGACAACAGATAAACAAAAGTTTAGTGCACTAAAGGAAAACTGTTATTTCCGTAGCTCCAGCTATTGATTCTATCAGTTATAACAACATTGTAATAATCATAGTGTTTGTTGAGATCTTTGGATGTGGCGACATCGCTGAAAAAATAGGTCCAACATTACTGGACACAGAAGCAGTCAGATGATCAGACATGTTGTAAACTAGCCAGTAGATTATTTATTTGGTGGTAAAACGGAACCTGAGCACACCTGAAAAAATAGCCCCTTATTGCACAGGAAAATGAGTGTAAACAGTTGTGGCAATTACAGTAGGTCGAAGTTGAAACAGAAAGTCAGCCTGTAGCCTGTGATGGATGTTTACGACGGGCAGTTTGAATACCCAATTTTCCCACTTGCCTTTTTGTTTAAGTTTGACTTACCTGGGTGTTTCAGATCTCAGCAATTATTCAAAGTACAGTGTAAAACCAATAGAACTGATGGTTCCAAAATTAAAACTCATGTTGTAATTAACCATTGTTTATCTGTAAACAGTTTTCATGGTGCTGAACAGTAAACCAATCAGAGACCTTGGTTTGACCTGAAAAAAGTGTATGCTGGGCAGCTCTATAAAGGTTTAACAACAGACAGGTACTGTGTGTATTTATAATATAATTTCAGACCCTGACTGCCAGCTCTCCTGACAACACAGCTGCCTTCTGCAGTGTCCCCTATTTGTAATATTATGCAAAGAGCCATCCATGTCAGTATTTGACTGTGTGGTCATCACCCCACTCGCCTGCCTCTTTCTTATACCCTTCCATCCCCGCAAGTGTTTTTTGTGTCATGACGACATTAAGCTGGGATGAGTGCTCTCATTCTCATTGTTAAAAGTGGAGTCGTGTATATGTGTGTGTGTGTGTGCGTGTGTGTGTGTGTGTGTGTGCGCGCGTGCAACTCTCTGTGGACATTGATATGGGTGTTTGTGTAGTGGTTGTTTCAGTGTGGTTGCATCATGGCGTGGTGCATTTAAAGTTGCCTGCTCCTTCGTCTAAGCTTCAGATGCTGTATGTTACTAACATTGGTGCATTCAGAACACACAGTGATCTTCAGTGTGTTGTATTTGAGTCTCTCTCATGACTAGAAGAATGTTTATGGAATGGAACAAAAGAATTTCCATGGTGATTAAGGTGTGTTTGTCTTTCTGTCGTGTTGAATACTGTTCCCAGGTGAGTCCTCTCTGGTGTGGTGCATGCGGTCTGCCCATCACTCAGTGCAGTTTTGGTGAATGATGTGATTCAGTCAGCGGCCCAGCATCAGTGTGAATGACATGAAGTTGGATGTTAAACCTGGGGATCACACTGTGTGTCACTCCTTCAACAACAGTTATTAAATAGCACTTTCCCTCTCTCTGCTGCCTCAGGTGTCTTTGCTGGAGTACCGTAAGAGGAAGCAGAGCAGTGGTCGCGACTCGGAGCCAGTCGGCAGTAGCTCATCTCTGGGTAGCACCCCCACCAGGCCTGGCTCCCACTACAGCCAGGAATCCCATCATTCCCATACCCATTCCCATTCCCATCAGCAGATGCAGTCCCTGGCCTCCCCGCACAGCTCGTTCTCTTCCTCAGCACACTCCTCCTCCATCCCACAGATAGAGGAGGTCAGTCCTCCAGACCACCAGGGCTCGTCCAGACGCCAGGACAGCAACAACCAATGGTGAGAGGACACCTTTCAGTACATGTCACATTACCTGGAAGGGTTCCGGGTTTGTCCCTGATGAGAGTCGACTGGCAGATAACCTTTTGGATTTGTATTTTTCCAGGATGGTCCCCACTACTGTTGAACGTCTAAGGGAAGGTCAGGGGGGTCTGGAGCGAGTGCTAAGAAGCATCAAGATGGAGCGGATTCAGAAGAGAAGTGATGGTTCTACAGAGAAGGAATCTGGTATGAAGACATTAGAAACTACTAAGATGTACCAAAAACATACATCAGTATATCTTGTGCTTTGATAACGTGTTTATTTCAGTGCTGGGGTTGATCCTCCTCTCTGTGTTTTCAGATGCAGATCGATATGAGGTGCAGGCAGCATCCATGGCTTCTCCCATGAAGAGTCCACACAGATACAGTCCCTCTGTGTACTCTCACCAGGTAACCTATACAAACCATTTATATCACTTCTTTCCCAAAACACTAGTATCTGGACAGTTTGTTTGTGACACTGGCATACAAGCTGCCTGATGACTGTTGCCTTGTTTATGGCCCTTTTCCTCCGCATGGTAACAGCTCCACTCGCCTAGACTCTACTCGCCTTTGTTGGTTTTACCAATGGGGAGAAGTTGTACCTGGTACTGTTTTACCTGGTACTTTTTTTATCTTTTTTTTTGGTATCACCTCCGTTGAGGTTCCAGTCGAGTTGAGGCGTCACCAGAAGGTGAATATTGGCACTTTAACAAAAATTGATGGCGGATAGAAAATGTGTTTTAAACCTTTTCGGAGTTAAGAAGCTCCACAAGTGCGAGCGGGGTAGCTAGCAAGCCAGCCAGCTTAAATCAAGGGACATCTGGTGTGTGTGGGTCACGGGCGTGTGTTGTGTTGACGACGCTGCAGTTTCGTGCGCCGTTGCTATGATGACCAGCTACATTGAGAGGGTACTATCTGCAATGGAACATGGATGACGGAGGGCCAAAAGTGAGTCTCGTCAAGTGAAGCTGGTACCAGCAATGATAAAAACGCTGTTAGTGTCCATTTCTGTGTTGCTATTTCTATTCACACCCCCCCCCCCACACACACACACACCTTGATTGATTAATTATTTAATTAATTAATTAATTATTTAATGTTGTTAATGAGACCTGATCATATTGAAGTAATTAGCATTTGCCAATTATGAATTGGAATCCTGCATTTTTAAAAAGTTTAAAAGTCTTAATAGGGCTGAACGATTAATTGTTTTCAAATAGAAATTGCAAATTGAGAAAGAGAACGTGATTAGCTAATCGCAAAGACGGCGATTAAGGTTAATTACACAGCGCACCTGTTTTAAACGGTCATGAAGTTACAAATTCGTTCCGTTGCCAAACACAAGCGCCATGCACCTTCTGTTACGGTCCTACTCACCAATCAGAGTGGACCCAGGGCGTTTACATTCTACCATGGTTAAGCTGGCTTTGTAGTTAAATTGTTTATTTATTTGTCCTATTTTTTAAGTGTGTTTATTGTTGATAAACGATCAGGAGTCTGCACAGGGTGTTTGACCGGGTTCTCTATGCCTTTCTGTGTCTGACTCCCTGGCCGGTTCATCTGCTCTGTGCTGCTTAATGCGGCTTCAGTCAGAAATAGACTGGCAGTGAATATTGAACTTTAAAAAAAATCGCAAATCAAATCTTAATCTTAATTTGATTTTTTTCCCCCCCAAAATCATTCAGGCCTAGTCTTATATATCCATCTTGCTGGCTGATTCAGAAACTTTAAATTAAACTATTTTTGAATACGCATATTGTTTTTAGCCCCACAGCCCAAACATTCTTTTTCTTTTTTAATTCATTGTTAGTACCAGCAGACGCCATCTTCCTTTGTCCAGTGGCATGAATATTTGCATTTAGTAAGCATGGGAGACTTCTCTGCGTTGTTTTCCACATGACATGAATGCAGCCTTGGAAATTTGTCGTTGTCACAAAAGAGTGTGTTTGTGTGTGTTCAGTCATCAGAAAGCCACCAGCAGACCGACAGTCCGTCGTTTCTCCAGCAGACCTCCAATTCTCCATTCCGGGGTTCTTACAGTCCCTCATCAGGCCAGAGCTTCTACCCTCGCCCCTCCTCCTCTCTGTCCCAGGACCACCCTCCCTCCTCCTATCCCAGTCAGACTCCCACCTCTTCCTCAGACTCGAGGCCGCCAGCAGGCTCTGTGCACCAGCAGAGTGGCGGTAGTAACGTGGACGGAGGTCACGGCTATGGCAGTAGCCACTTAAAAGCGAGCCTCATGAACAGCAGTGGCATGGTGGGGAGCCCCAACCCGGGACCCAGGGCCCACGGGCAGACTAAAATAGACTTGGGCGCTCAGGCCTCCAGAGGGAGTCAGCAGCAGGCCTCTCGCAGCCTGAAGTCAGGCAGCCCTGGCCAGACGGCGCTGCAGGCCGGCTCCAGGCTGCTGTCGGCCTCTGGACCGACACACTACCCACAGCGAGGGACAAGCCTCAGTCAGTTCCAGCACTCCCCCCTCCAGGGACCCGGAGTAAGGACACAGTCAGGAAGCTTTTAGGACCTTGTTCAAGTGTGTTTGTAAGTGTGAGTGTGTGCGCGTGAGTGTGTATGAAGGTTCATACCTCCTCAACCCCTAAAGCTGTGGTGAAATGGGGCTCAGGGAGTTTGGGGAGGGGAAATGTACAGACCTTAAGAGGAGCAAGGACTTCTTTACGGATTTCTCCTTTTCTTATTTTCTGTCTTTTCTTTCTTTGTTTTCAGAAAAAAACAAATTACCACATTCTGCACAGAGCTAATCATTGACTTTGGACATCATCACAGAATCAGTGGAAAAAGCGATTTGGATGATGCGTTCTGCAGAAAAACAAGAAATCAAATGTAACTTGAAATTTTCCCCAGTGTTTCCTCACGTGCCGGACTGTGCAAACAGGCTCTATATTGTCGGAGAGTAAAAACTTCCACAAAAAAAATGTCTGTAAAATGTTCTAAAATGCCGTACCTGTCGTCATGGTACCCAGGTTGGATAAATGTTGAGATGCATATGTAACTGAAAGCAAGAGTTGTTTTATTTTAAAAAACATTTTCAATGTCAATGTTACTCTTTTTGATTTGGCGGGTGGCCGAGTCTGTGCTGCAGTAAACAAGTGTTTGATTTGAAAAGGGGGAAATAATACAAGCAAAGGCAACATGTTAATCATCCGTTCTAAAGATGCATTAGAGAGGCAGGGGGAAGGGTTTCTCCTTGGATACGATCATTCCACATGATTACCAGCTTCCACGTTCTCTCACTAAACATGAAAACAGACACCCTTTTTTCTCTAGGTTTTCCGTCTGTTCCGATATTCTGTTGTTTTGGGTTCTCTTCTGTTCTCTCATCCCCACTGGACTGTTTGATTTCACATTAGGACTACTTCACTGTAGACTTCTGATATTGTACTTGAGACGTACAGGTCTTATGATTCATGGTGCTGCATTCTTGTTTTTTCCAATAAATTTGAAATCCAGTTATGTTCCCCACCTACTGCTGCATTCATCTTGTCATTGAATCAGTTGAAATCAGTTTTATTTTTCTCCAAATTCATGCTAATCATATATTGTAGAGATGAAATGCAGGAACAAAATAAGAGGCAGATAATCCAACTTTATTTTAATGTTGGATTTGACTGTTTTTATTCAGCCGGTTTCTTTAAATATAGATATGTATATGTATTTCTTCTGACCAATCCTTGCATTCCGTGCGACACCAAGGAAAACCGGGAAGGGGACACTCTGAATGAGTGTATGGATTGTTTATAAAAACTAGGTAAAAAAAGCTGCTATTTTTCTCCTGTGAGAGCTGCTTCCTTTTCCACAGAATGCTGTATTTTTATTTTTCCTTTTAACTCTGATCCTCACAAACTGACTTGTAAAGAAAGAGGCGGTTCTCCTGTCCGCTTCAGTGGGACCTCAAACCGACATTAAGCTGGCAGCTGGCAGCAGGAGTCACCCTCTCCTCCCTGAGACTTTTATTTTGGACCAGATGTGGAAAACAGCCTTGTTTGTGTGGAAGACTTCAAGGACCGAGAACAGTCATGAGACTGGACCCCCCCCCCCCCCCCCCCCCCCCAGTCCACCAACACACAGAAGGGTACTTAGTGAATGTTTGACAGATTGAAAAAATAAAGTTGTGACCCAAAATTAACCAGCACCTTAAAATGAAAGAAATACAACCTAAAAACACAATAGGACAATATGTATTGTGATGTGTACCTGTATAGAAAGAAATGTGATGCAGACCTATATGGACAAAATACAGTGCACTGAGTTAATCGCATGATGTTTGTTTTTAGGGTCTGAGTGACCAACTTGTTCAGATCGTTGGAAGCTAATCATCGGGTGTGTTCCTGGGTTCCTCCAAAAACCAGACGCTGCATTCTTTTTTGTTTTGTTTTGTAAAGGTCATTCTGTTAGTTTGGTTTTATTTTTACACAGATCATAGTAGTAGCTATTTTATTGTTCCTCTCCAAAAGGTTTAAGAAGCAAAAGATGTAATGCATTTTGATAATAAAATAATCATGATGGTAATGTATTTTGGAAACTACCATTGTGATGTGTCATTTGAGGAAGTCACTTGTATGTTTTGCACACGTCACAGCAGTCCAAGCGGGCTTGATGATGGTATTTCATAGAGTATCTTTCACTTGTGGCAGATATCTGAACTATTTGACAAGCTTTATTTATCTTCAGTGGTTCATGTTAGCACTGCAGTGGACACAGCGCTTGAGGATGCATAAAATATCTCCTGCCGTTTTGTGGCCTAGCTCTGCTTAATGATCTGCCGAGTGCAAAGCCTGATTTCACCCAGCAGAACAGATCTCCGCCAACAAGCTTGTTTTTGCTTATATTTGCTAGTTAACAGGATCTATTAAAAACCTGGTAACATTTCAACGATATTTGGTGGAAAACTTGATCTATTAATGAACAAACCACCAGACAAGACAGAAAAATCATCTTAAGCGTGTTGGTCTGGTAATAGAAGAGTCTGTGGGCTAAGCAATAACTTGATAGTTTTTAGTTCGGCTCCACAATCAGGATTTTAAAACAGAATTTGTTTTTCTTACTTTGAGAACGCACACACCGCAAGATGCAGACCAGTGTGAGATTCAATGCAAGTCCATTCATTAAAACCCGTTGCACAACTCTTCTCCAGTACACAATGCTTTATTCACCAGATGTTTTCAGCTGTCTTGCCCTCACAAGTTTTCCAATTTCCTTATATACAATAAAGTGATTTATCATGTCAACCTTTCACAGTATTCTCCAACAAATACACCTTTTGATCTTGACTCTTCACTGGGTGAAAAGATTGAATATCCATCTTTCAATAGAAGTAAACATTCTGTATTCTTTCAACGTGACTACTCTTTCAAAACTGTATTCAGATCACCTCTATCGCTGAACATTACTAAAAACCTTAACTCACTGGACTAAAGTCTGTCTGTTCTGAACTTAACATAACCATCCAAGAAAATGTCCTTTCAAAGAAATGATGGTAATGGAGAACAAATATAATCCAGTAGACTCTACAGAACTGGCTTCAAGTCTAATTCCTCCTTTAACCCTTCTGGTGCCCAGTTTAGAACTCCAGAACGCCTCCCTCTTAAGAAGCAACTCGTCTAAATGGCCTCCTCTCTTTAACAAACATACCTCCTCAATTCCCATATATTGATATATTTCAGGGAATTAAATATCCAGGTATTGAGAAGGTATGTTTGTCATTTATTGTGTGCAAATAAATAACCTCTCATAATTCAATTACATAAAATGACAGTGGGTTTCTTTATACGTTGTTTATCAGCAATAACAAGATGTACAGGATCATTCCTGACTGAACTTGTTTTCCTGTCTGACGACAGATTTTCTTTTAATCAATTCTGTCTTGGTCCAGTGTTACTAATAGAGCATCAGTACTGCGTTTATCCACCAGAGGAAAGCATTGAGCTACAGTTGAATAATGCAAAGAAGGCAGAGATGTGACTTGGTCTCTCAGTATTTGAAAACAACAAGGCAGAAAGGTTCACTGTTGAGATTATTCTCTCTGACTTTGTGATTGCTACTGTTAGAAAAAATACAGGGATGTCCTGCAGTTTGCTCATGTTTTCAGGCTATCTCAAATAAAATGACACATCATACAAAGCAGTGACCTAGAGGCTATACGTGGCTGTAGGTCTTGATGATATTTTACCTTCCTTTTGATTTACTGCTGCAAACACAATCGTCCAGGAAGCCTTATGTCCATTAATTGCTAAATGTATTAGTGGTTTCCAAAGCTACTAACACATTACAGCCAGCTCTGTAAATGTCTTTTGGCTGATTTATGTCTTTCCTCAGAATCAACAAAGACATGCTTCTCACTGTCAGTGCCCTAAAAAGCATTTCCAGGGATTTGTCATTCATCCAAACATAATGACTCAGAGCAAAATCATCAGTGTTGATTGTCAATAGTAACGCTATGCCAGTGTTTCTATCAGGATGAACAGAGTGGAGCCTCTGAGAGCCATAATACACTCATGGACCTGAATGAGTTCCAGAAAGCATGTGGAAAAACACATTTCCGGTGTGAGGTCTTCCCGCTCTGTCGGCTCCCTCCTGAAGGCAGCAGGCACGCAGACACTAATTGCAGCAAGTGAGTGAACAGGTATGTTGGTGGGGAGCTTTGGCTCTGACGACAGGTTTTCTGACTGGAGGAGAATGCAGAGAGCAGATGGCTGGTCTGAGGCCTGTCAGCATGTGGAAGTCTTCATTCTCACCGCTCCAGATGGCCTTTATGCACCCTCCACCAGCGTGGCTCTGACAGAGCCAGCAGCACACAAATACAGTCTGGTTGTAAAACTAGAGGTAATTGGGGGAGTTTGTGTCTCAAAGTCCCACATGGACACTCAGAAACACCTGCAGAGACTGAAAACTAGTATTACAAGGACCCAAGGCACTCCCCCCTGATGCCTCCACAAGGACCACTGAGAGTGTACTCCATGAGTTTCCAAAGCTGCTGCCCTGGTTCGGTCCCAGTTTGAGTATATTCATGTATATTGAATGTTATATTTCTTCTTGGGTTTCTTCTTCCTCTTTCTTCTTTTTTCTTGCCTTAACCCTTTCTGTCTTCTTATAAATAATATTATTATAATAATTATTATAAACTTAAAGTCTGTTCACTGAATTCAATCCAGTTTAAAGTGTGCTGCAAGAGTCCAAAAGAGAGAACACCAATGCAATGCAATCTTTCTCAGGTGGAATAATCAGTCTTACTGATGCCATCAATGTGTTGGTGAACTTCTTCAGGTCCTGTGTGGCCGAGCGGGAAGCTTCCGGTCAACAAACTGATGCGAACGCGACAGCAGGGGGCGACTCTTCTTGTTGCAAAAACAAGTCCAGTTCCATTAGAAATAAAATGACCCTACTTCTCAGCTGATTTATTCTTACTCAGCAAACACTTTCCTAATGAGGTTATGGTCTCAGTTTCATGTCTTCTTCAACACAGCATGATGTTCGTTCAGTAAATGGTCCCATTTAGAGGAAAATAGACCAGAAAGCAGAGGATGCTTCAGGGCGGGATTATCTGTGATTGACATGTCGTTATGATGGTAAACTGTCAATCAGGCTAGAGTGACTTGTACCCTCTGCACTGTGTAAATTTAACCAGCGGCGTTGAAAAAGCTTATAAGGAGTTGCCTGTTCAAATGTCCCTGTTAAAATGACAGTTGGGGTGAATTACAGATGCACCTAGCTAACCAAGCTAGCTAGCTCCACACACAGCCGTTGGCTCCACCGTCTCGTCCAAATATGGTCACATCCGGTGCCGCTGGTTGCAAAAAATCAACATGGCGGCGGCCTAAAGGCCAAACTGGAGGCTTCAAAAGGCTTCATGGGGGCAGCTGGCTCAGCCTCAGTTGTTTTCTTATGTCTGCTGTTTATTGCTGTTGTTCCACTGTCTCTGTGGTGTCTATTTGTGTGATGTTTGTGCAAAAAGAGAAGAAGGTAGTGTGCACAGACTGGAGAGGCTGTAGAAGGCAGCTGGAAGCCTGGACAGATGCTGTGATTTCATTATGCTACATACAACAGCGGAAGGGTGCAAAATGATGTAATATAGGGCATATTATTTAATAATCATATTATAGTAGTATATTTTAGTACTTTAATTTGCGTTTGGTGTGTTTGGGTTGGTCCTGAAGTTTGCATGTTTGATGAAAACATTTCCCTGCACAGTGTTTGCTCTTCATGTTGGCTCTGCAAACAGTTCTGTGTTCTGTGTGCGCATTGAGTTTGTGAAGTGACATTTTTCTGCCAAAACCCCCCTATTGCAAAGACGCAAGAGTAAAGCTTGATAACATCGACAAACTTAAATATCATTTTTTGATGTTTGTGAGAAGAATATCATTAAGAAGTTCAACTCATCAAAATAAGGTGGAAAATAATATTTGAAGGACGTTCGGATTGATTGCTATCAATAAATAACATATTTTGTGTTCCAAATTGCCAAGAAATGAGTAAAGGTGGGGGGCAAATTCAGTCTGAAATCGGTGTGCATCGTTTTGCTACAGTTTCTGGGTTGAACAATCCCACACTCCACCCTGAAGCCTAATGCTGCAGTCCAGTCACAGTAGGGGGTCAGAATTTGCTTTCCAGGTGCCTGACCCCAAACGTGAACAAAAAACATGGCTGACCCAGTGCAGTGCGCTTGGTGTGAACTAAAAAGATGGCTGTTTTAGTGAAAACAAGTGACATAAACTTTGTTGTATGTTTCCTAATGTTTTCCTGAATAACTAAGATGACTTTCAGAGGTTGTACCCAGCTACCTAACATTGGCGATATGTTGACATCAGTTTACAGAACAGATTTTACTATATGATAGTATGTATTATCTTAATTAGATACAGGCAAACATACTTTATGTTGCCTTTTAATTATTATTATTATTATTTATTACACAAAGAAAAGAAGGTCACTCAAATAAATCACAAAATAACGTGATTTTAAGTTGTTGAGACCTTCTTACTTCAGGACTTGATAAAAGTCTATAAAAATGCTGATTATTTTTTTGATTGGAGGTAAAAAACAAAAACAAAGCTTATACAGCCACAGTAATAAACAGACCAGGACTCTCTCTCTATTGCTATTTTTCATTTAATTATCATTCATGCTAACTGATGTGATGGCCACAGACATGCTAAAAGTGGTAACCTTGTGCACTTACACTTTTCTTTAGTTTATGCAGTTATTTTTCCTCTTAGGACTGGTTTATTTATACATACATACTTTAGTTGCAGACATTTATGGAGGTACAAATAATGTACAGGACACTTCTTTTGTTTCACCTACATATACTTTATGTAGTTGACCGTACAAAGGTATCTTTTTAGAGCGCACACAATTAGTTACTTTTAGACTGGATTGTCTTTCAATTTTAATAACCAGTATTTCTTTTGAGCTTGCAGTCTAAACATCCTCAAGAATTTACAACTGTGTTACTCCTCCTGCCTTAACTGCTTAGGTCCCTCATGAGTAAAAAAAAAAACATAGTAAAAAAACTATAGTAGTGTTTTACATACAGCATGTGAGCAAATGAGAC